TTTGCCTACGGCGGCAGTTACACTTGCTGCGATGGGCCTGCCTTTTGCGTGGGTCCTTATCGAGGCCGATCCCACCCTGCGTGCCGCTTCGTCGGCTTGCTTTGCAAATGTGCACCTTGTCGTCTGGACTCCTCGGCTCAGGGTCCAAGACTTGCCTCGCGCATTTCTAGGACAGCCCTTTTGGCTTATCTTGCTGTGCCTTGCGCCCGACCCAGCCCTGCATGCTCGACAGGTCGCACTTTCTGGCAGGAGCGCTCTTGCCACTGCCTCTGTTGTCTTCATGCAGTCTCTTGTCGATGCTTGCCCAAGGTTGTGGCCAGACTCGATTGCGGTGCTGCTTTCAGTTCACAAACCCGATGCCGGCACAGCAGCATTGAGGCCACGTCATGTTTCGGATAGTAGCCATTTGAGTGGAGGGTGCAGTCCTCCCAAGCTCTTTGCCTCTCTCGGCATGTTGAGAATGTCGCTGTGACGTCGGAGGGACCTCGATCCTTTGCAAAATGGACTGGCAAACCCTGGCCCAAGTCCATTAGGTTTGATGCAGGTTTTCAGCGCTGGCGGCCTGGCATTTTTCCAGTGCTTTCTCCGGTCAGTGTTGTGTCCAAGCCTTGCAGCGATTCCGTTTCTGAACAGGCCAAATCTCGCTGCTTTGAGGACCATTTTCGCTTCCTCGCAGGGCGAGTCTTGGAGGACGCCGTCTGCTCGTGAGAAGGCAGCTATGTATGGCATGCCGTCCTCTCTTGTTCAGGCGGTCAAGAACACTCCGGATGATGTTGATTCTAGGCGCTCTTTCTTGGCGGGTAGTGTGCATGTCCCTTCCTTTGCACTTGTGCTTTGCATTTTGCTTTCCGGTCTCATGCAGTCTGCCTGCACATACATCCCGCCTTCGCCCAAGGATGCCTTAGAATCGGCTGTTGTGGCCAACGTTTGGGGCACTGTTTTCCAGCCAGGTTTCTGCCACCATTACCCTGGTTGCCTGGACGGTGCTGCAGTTGCCAGTGGCTTCTACGCTCAGTGCAAAGCGCAAGGCATACACTTGACAAGGCCCCAGTCCAGTCTTGCCTCAGCTCTGCAGCGTATCGACTTCAGCGATTTGCAGTGTTACTGGGTGGATAAGTGTTTGCGTGACGGGCCCTGTGACACCTTGGGACCAGAGTTTGCGCAGCAGCGTGCCCCCTCTCTTGCTTCGGTCGCTTCTGGAATGCAAAGGGGCACTGGTCTTTCCAAGTGGTGTCTTCCACCTCTGCATCCTTCAGGTTTGTCTAAAGATGGGCACCTTCAGCACTCAGCTCGGGTTGCTTCGCCTTTCTCACAACCAGCCCCGCTTGATGACGATCTGCGGTTTTCTGCTAGAGCTATGGGTCTACTAGGTCCTTGTTTGCCTCAGTGGCGCTTTCGGCAGGTCTCGCTCCTACGCAAGCTCGCTGTTGCGCTGAGGCCCTGGGAGAATGACCTGCAGGCTCTTATGCCGCCCTCAGTGCGTGCCGTGGCGGCTCACAAGAAACCAGCATTCTTGTTGACAGCAGCCATTCTCTTGAGGTGGCCGGACCTCAGCAATGCACTTCGCTTCGTCACGGGTTACATGGTCGTTGGCGAGATTGAGAATTCTGGTTTGTTCAGGCGGACTCTGCCCAACGAGGACGCAGCGGTACGACGAGCTGCGCGAGACATGCCTTCAGGAGGTCGCTCTTGGCCACGCCAGGGGGCCTTACACCGCAGCAGAGATGGATGCCGAGTTTGGCGTCGGAGGCTGGAGACCGTTGGAGCGCTTCATGATCTTGCAGTCAGACAAGTGTCGTCCCATTGATTCTGGCAAGCGACCTGGCCATAACGCAGCTGCGCGTGAGCGAGAGACCATCTTCACTACTAGTGTCGATGCCTTTCAGCCTCTGCTGCTCCTTGTGCGCACGCAACTTGGTGCTTCTGCATTCGCTAAAGCTTTTCCCTCTTTTGCTCGCTTTGTAGTGGGTACAGAGGACATGAAGCATGCTTATCGCCAATGCCCCGTGCATCCCTCACACCTGTGCGTGACTTGCACCGTGTACTGGGACAACGTGGCTAATGAACATCGCTTCATTGTGCTACAGGGTTTGCCCTTTGGCCTATCGGCTGCTGTCTTGTGCTTTAATCGCACGCCCACTTTTCTGGCTGCACTCTGCCGCCGTGTCTGTGCCTCGCCAGTCTTGCAGTTTTTCGACGACAGTGGCATCGCGGACCTGGAGTGTGCGCGTGGATCGGCACAGGCGGCCATGCGGGCTTGTTTTGACCTGGCAGGAGCTGAGCTTGACCCAGGCAAGTCCCAGCCCCCCGCAGCTTGCCGAGTTTTCCTTGGCCTCTCGGTGAACTTGGGGTTGGCCCAGGCCTCTGACTACATCAGCTTTGACCTCAAGCCGGGTTTTCGCGAGGCTTTAGCTGACGAGGTTCGTGCAATCCTGTGTGACGGCCGCCTTAATAGTGGTCGCGCCTCCAAATCCAAGCTCCGGGGCAAGTTCGGGTGGGCTGCATCAGGCACTTACGGTAGATGCGGCCGTGCTGGCTTAGCTCCTTTGGTGACAAGACAGTTCACAGACACTTCTGATGAGCTTACGCCTGCTTTGCGCGACTGCCACAGATTTCACTTGCACCTTGCCGAGCTTGTGCCACCGCGACTTGTTTACATGTCTCAGCTGCAGCCCAAGCCTGTGCGAGTTTACAGTGACGCCAGCTACGAACCCTCTGCATTGGTTCCCGCTCGGCTCGGCTTTATCATCTTCCCGCCTGATGACACAGCCACCCCGGTGGGCATGTCCATGGACATTTCTGACTCGATCCTTGACAGGTTTCAGGTCAGGGACACGCAGATCAATGCATCATCCCGTCAAATGCTCCAGAGATGCTGCGGGGACACGACGTGATATGGTACGTGGACAATCAAGCCGCCTGTCAGATTTTGATGAAAGGCGCAAGCTCCGTTCCGGATATGGCTGTCATAGCGGCTGTCACTCAATTTCTCTTCACCCGACTTGGCTGCAGAGTCTACTTTGAGTATATTGAGAGTGACGCCAATCCGTCGGACGGGTTGAGCAGAGACGGTCTGCAGGATGCCTGGACTTTGTCTCAGGGCTGGCATCTCATGCCGGCGACAGCGCCAGATATCCTTTTCAGTGCCTTCGGGTCTCTTAGTCAGGTTCTTCTCATGGTTCAGACTTATTTGGGGCTTCTTTACTTTGGGGATTTTGGTCGACTCGAAGATCTTTCTGGCACTGTGCCATCGGCATTGTGCCCTTTATCATCGGGCGATCTTTTCTCCAAAGCTTCCCTTCGGTGCTCGTCTGACGAATCGCCACACGGAGTGAGAAAAAGTCAGGTGCGAGCCCTCAGCTTCACATGCACTGCACTGAGCATATTGAGAAAAAGATCAAAAAGAGTGTTTTCGTGGCAAGGCCATGTTGAAGATGCTGATGTTTGTGGCGCTGCTGTTGCCCGTGCTATAGTCCGTGATGAGGATGGTGATCTGTTGATGATGACGAAGAGGAGTGCGGGCCAGGGTCGGAGGGGAAGGGCGGGGAGTTGCCATGTGTTGTTCTTTAGGGAGGATCTGTTGGACTGCCTACTCTCTTACTGATTGCACTCCTCTACTCAGAGTTTCGTGCCGTGGAATCCGTTGGTTGACTTCCTCGGGCTATGAGTTTTCGACTTGGAAATTGCTTTGATTGCGTTATTTCGTGCTTTGTCTTAGCTGGTGACGTCTGTGGACAAGGCTTCGGATTCAGGATTGAGTTTGTGAAGTATCGGTGGTTCGAAGGAGCTAAAAAACCTGTCAAAATCTCCCAATGTCAAGTTGACATTGGCATCGCAAAGCGCAAACCACTTAAATCGGCTGGCGTGCGGCATTTGCACATTACCTGTGGCCATGTGATGTTTCTTTGTGGGACGTGCAAAGGGTTGAGTCAAGGCGAATCCCCAGAAATGGCACGTTGATTGCCGTTGGATGTTACGACATAAACCCTTCTGCTTCATCCAACATCAGTCGAGGCAGTCATTCGCTGAGATGTTGCAAGCACGCACACACGCAGGGATGCAGTAGGTTTTAGTAATCAAGGCCTGCTACGTAAATCTTCCCATGAGCCCGCTTCAAACAAATCCGGGCAGATGCAAAAGATATGAACAGGTGGAATCACCCAGGCATGCCCAGGAATCGGAAGTTTTTTTCTGTTACTCCCTCTGCAATCCATACTAATTAGCTTGCCCTGAAGCAGCCGAATGCGAGAGGTGTCTTTCAACAGCGAGAATGACCAACCTTCCAATGTCAAGTAGGAAGTAGGTAATTCTCGATGCCCGCTACTGCTTCCAGCGTTTCAATCATGATGCTTTCGATGAGTTCAAAGACGTTCTGACAAACCTTTGAGAAGTTATGCCAAGTTAGGGGGCTGGGTTCGCTGCCCATCATCATTTTGGCCTCTGCTAGCCATGATGAACTTTGTGTTAAGGTTCCGGCTACCAGGTTCTGGTCGCTGCTACAGATTTATTGGTGTGCAGTCTTACCAGCGTTAGTTGGTGTTGGTTTTCATGGTCGGGAAGATTGGGTTACGGTTCCAGTCATTATGGTGTCTGAGCAAGTACCTGTCGGGTGCCTTGCTGGACTATGGCTTTCGGATCCCGTGCCCTCAGTGTTCCGCATGTCCTGAACATCATCTTCTTGTTCAACTGTGGCGTTGGTGCTCTCGGTCTTGCTTGCTGAGATGGAAGGCAACCTATTGACTGTGCTCAGTTGCAGAAAACGGCTTGTGCGATCGCTGGAGCCCGTGTGATTTTTCTCAATACGTCATGTGTCCAGCTAATTACTCCCAACCACTGTGTGTGTTTGGAATGTCTGGCCAATTTCGACACCAGGCATGAGAAGACAGATTGGTTGACAGTTTGCCGTCATGCCCAACGGTTTGCGGCCTTCCACTTGTAACCTTTTGACTTGGAGCACCGTCATTGAAACCTGCAGAGTTGTGACAAACATGCAACTGGAGGTGCTTATTGGTGATTCAGGCGCTGGCAAATCCTGCCTTTTGCTTCGCTTCGCAGATGATGCCTTTACTGACAGCTGCTTTTCCTCGTTGGTGCTCCTGTCTATGAACTCGCAAGATGCATGAGTCCGAGGCTACATCACAACAATTGGCGTCGACTTCAGGTTCAAGACGATTCCCGTAGACAAGAAGAATCTTGCATGCACTGGCATGTGGACCCTTCAGTTATCTCTTGGAGCCCACAAGACACGTGCCGCAAGCATTAACCGTGACCTCCAAAGCAAGCCGGTGCAGAAGGAGAGGTGGGCAAGCATAATCGTGATTTCGGCAGGAGTGCATCGAACTGCTAGACTCCGACGTGGCCCGCAGCTTTCAGCTGTTAAAAAGACTGAACTAGAACAGGCTCAAATTGGACAAGGCTGCGAACCCTTTGCACTTAAGTTTGGACCACGATTGCAATCTCGGCCGCTGGCTGTGCTGAAGTATGAATGAGGACGATCAAGCTCCAGATTTGGGACACAGCAGGTCAGGAGAGATTCCGAACAATCACCAGCGCGTCGCTTACCTGCAGATGGAGTTGGCAAATTGCGTTCTTCACAATGCCTACAGATTCCAGCATCTTTGCCCAGTCTTCGCTCCAAGGTAGGTATTCTCCATCTTTTTGTTTGGGAAAAAGGTTGATAAGATGACTGAAAAACTTTCAGGGAGTTGGAATTGGACTACGAGAGGCTTGTACGTCTAGGTGGGATTGAGGAGACGCACGCCGCAAAGCAGCTTGTTATTTTCGGAGCGTCTCGGCAGCCTGCCATACTCGCTTGTGGCTTGATGATGAGCCATGTCACCTTCCAAAGTGTGCAGGCAGTTAAGAGGTTTTTTGGAGCGACCCTGCAGACGGCACTCTGAAAGGATGAAAGGAGGAGGCCGAGAGAGGCTTAGACAACAGTTTTCAAATTGTGGTTTGCTTGTCGTCCCTTGCAAGGTCTTCCCAGTCAAAAACAGTGAAGAGAGTTGAAATGCGGGTGAACAACGTGTCAGACAAGTGCTCTTGGTCCCATCTCATAGCCATCCAGGAGTTCTGCAAAGGCTCTTGGCTTGCACAACCACGAGCCTTCCACTGTCACCAAGAGCTCGTGCGAGCGTACCATATCGCTCTCATAGAGCTTATACACATGCTTGCACGTTGCTCTCATCCGACTCCGCATTCCCAATCGAGTACTTTCACTGTAACTGCATTCGAGACGCTGTTGACACAATTGACACACCATTGCATGTGCCCCGGGGTCAAGAGCACAGCCTGCTTAAGCACTCTCACATCTTTTTTTGATGAGGTGTATATGTTGGAGGAGGGGAAATTGGTGCCAGCTCGTTTAAGCATGGTTCGAAGCATATGCAGCTGTGTATGTGCGCATTTCCACACAATTTTGCAAACAAGGTACTATCGAGGTGCTGCCTTGAGCTCAGGCAACAGGTGATACCGACAGCTTGTGTTACGCATTTCTTCATTCAGGACGGAATCATCCTTGTTTACGACATTTGTGACCGGGAATCGTTCAATCATGTTGATGAGTGGTTGAACGAAGTAAACCGCCTCTCGGTTGCACACCTGCCCATGCCAGGCTTTGGTTTCGTGTGTCGTTTGTTTTCTTTCTGGCAAGGTTATGTCAACGAGAACACCTGCAAGATCCTCATCGGCAACAAGTGCGATATGACTGCAGAAAGGCAGGTGTCCACCGAGGAGGCAAAGAAAAAAGCAGAAGAGCGGCCCTCAGACCACTGCTCGAGCAGTGCTTTAGGCGGAATCGCATTGTTCTGACATGCAGCCTCTGTTGTTTCAGGTTGTAGGAATTAGGCATGACAGGAATGTCATTTTGGAATCTCTCCCGGCATGAGTAGTTCCGCCGATCATAGCAGCTACAGCTGGAGGTCCCCAAGTAGATTCTGTTCCAGCTTGCTGCACAGGATCTGGGCATTGCGTTCATTGAGTGCTCTGCCAAAGACGCGACAAACGTGGAGGATTCTCAGCTGTGAACGTCAGAGGTTTGTTTAGGAATGATGCCTGTGGACTGAGGCTGCTTTCCAGATGATGTCAACAGAGCTGATAGCGACCCTTCTCAGCACTTCGTTGCTCTTGTCGGACGCGAGAAGAGTTCTGATCTTTCAGGAAGAGCGAGAAGCAAGGAGCACGCCCGCAACGGCCGGCAGGAGGTACAGGCCTGCTCCAGCCGAATCCTGCCAGCAAAATCTGTATACGAAGTGCGTTTGGATGCGGCCGCGTCAGAGCACCATCTGGTCTCTCGCCCGTGCTCAGGAAGGAACGGGGCACAAGCGCATGTGGTGGCTGTGGCCAGGGCTAAATGCCCTTCCCACAGCTGGACTGGGCGGCTTGCCTTGTCTTACAGTCTAGGACAAGCTGGCTCCTAGGACTGCTAAGTCTCTAAAGAAGGAGAGGTATCCAACTGGACAGGAAGATGGAGGTGGTGGCGCTTGCGAGATGTTGTGCGGCAGTCCCCAAATCTAAACGGGAGATGTTGAGCGGGAAGTGCAACGAGATGTTGGGTGGCGAGCCCGAAATCCTACCCTGAACCGTCGCTGCGCAACTATGCCGTGCCAGCGTTCTTCGACAGGCTTTCAATGCATTTATAGTTGCTTCCCAGCAGCTGTTTGAAGCACATCTCTCGCATCCACTTTCAGTGGCCGACTCTCTACTTGCCTAGCCTGTCGCCTTGCCGATTTCACGCGTGCTTGAGCCTTGACAGGCTCCAAGAGTTCCCACCTGGTCTCAGGTTTGCCGCGGAGCATTGGTGCAGAGCAGGCAGCAGTGCGCCCGCGGACCAAAAGGTCGTTTGAGCGCTGATGAGCCAGTGACAAAGACGAGGTTGACTTTCAAGGCAGTGGGCACGCTGACAGGATACTCAGCAGGATTTCGTAAAGACTGGCACTGTCGAACACTAACGATGCCTCAAATCTCTGAACCAGGACCATAAGCATGCAAAGACTTTGATGCCGGCTCTAACGCAGCTGTTGCGAGCTGGTCTATTGTTGTCACCTGCAGCCACAAGTTGATACATTACTGCTTTGGCTCAAGTTTTCAAGGCTTCCTGGGAACTTTCGACACCTGGACTGCCACCGAAGCCGAGGGTGGTAACTTGCCCATTCTGCTTCCTTCGTCGTCCTGGGTACTCCCATATTCGCTTCGTTTTTCCAAGGTGCCGCCCTCAGTTACAAGTCGGGAGCAGAGGGTTCACAGTCGAGCTCGCCTTGGCTCCGCAGATCCTGTCGATGGCACCAAGATGGACAGCAGATTCCCCAGTGCGCATGGTTCATTGGATTCCTGCCTATTCCGTTTGACTTGTTTTCGGCTCACATCGGCTCAGGTAGTCGGAGGTGCTGAGAAAGGCGGTATCTTGGTCCGTCGTGGACAGGCCGCCCAGTCTGGTGGGCCGCTGTCTGAGTTTTGGGCGAACATGTCCGGCCACCCACAGCTGCAGGAACTGGCTTCAGCTGCTCTGCCCGACCGGCTTTCCACCGGTGCCGAGGACGGACTGCGAAAGGGAAGCAGCCTGCCCAACTCGCATGGGTACCGCACCGTCAGCTACTCGTACCATCCCATTACAATGTAGCAGTTTGAACCGTGTTATCCGGGCCTCTCAGCCTACCGAGCTCTGCGCACCTGCTCAATCGCATATCTTTATTGCGTATGTGTGTGTGTGTGTGTGTGTGTATGTGTTTGTGCGTGCGTGTGTGTGCGTGCGTGCGTGCGTGCGTGCGTGCGTGCGTGCGTGCGTGCGTGCGTGCGTGCGTGCGTGCGTGCGTGCGTGCCTGTGTGTGTGTGTGTGTCTCTCTCTCTCTCTCTCTCTCTGTGTGTGTGTTTGTGT